TCTCCGAATGCAACATAAACTCTTGCCACTCTAATGTTAATAAATAATTGTAGGAAATTATTACTAAAGAGAAAGAGAACTACCAAGGTTTTTGTCGAGATATCGATTAATTTTTTTTTATATTATCTGCGCAGTAAAAACGTATCATGTAAATAAATGGTATAAATTATCTCAAATCGATTATCGATATTAAAAAAAAAAAAATACTTAGTGTTAATTTTATACGACACTTTTGCATTATCTACTTTGAGGTCATGCGCGTTGAATTTTTATAAACTTTCCGTCGCAGCAGCGTCACACGCTGCGTTTTCGATGTTAATAAAAAAGCGAAATAATTTACGTCGGAAAATCGCGCGCGCAGGCCTTCATTTTGTCACTATTTTCGTCTTTTATTACTGTTTCCCTGCGCGCTTTCGAGTGCGTTTACGTTCACATTCGAAACTCGCACCGGCTACATTAATATACACCCACACACGAGCTTTATACATACTTGATCGCGTTAATACGCGTTTCGAACGAAAGCTTCACTGGATGAAATAAATCTCGCGGCGGCTTTGGTTCCGACTCTCTCTCTCTCTCTCTCTCTCTGTAAATAGATACGCTTGTAGGCATCGCGCTCGTCTCCCCATTCGGAATTCGACGAGGCGTACATTTTATACAAATTGTTCCTCTCTCACGAAGCGAGCGGCTCTCGAATTACCTGTAAATTCTGATTCAAGATTAATCGAATCCGCGTTGCGTTTGACTGACATTGCCAACGTGTTATCCAGAGACAATGAGCTTGCATTCGGACGATGTGTGTTACACACGGTACCTGTAATATCTCACATATGTATAGTTACACACATCCAGAACGCATCATCTACGGGAGGTTTACGCTGTGGTCGGATCGATTTCTCCACGTCTGAGTTTCCAGCAGAGTTAAAACGTCGATACGCGCGGAAAGCACGCTGACATCGGTATATCTCGATCAAGCTGAAACAAATATATCACAGATCGTAATTTTTCTTATACTCAAGTCGACAGATAATGCCAGAATACGTGAATACTTACTTTGTAATGAGAGAAAGTTCCGAGTTTTCGACACAAATTAATGTTATAACAGTCTCGATTGTGTGTATGATCGCGTGTCTAGAACAATCTGCGAGGTTCTCTTCGGTAAAATTTATGACGGTACTAAAATAATGTCAGATACACATGGATGTACGACACATAAGACAGTGTAATTTATTGAGGCAAAGTATGATGTTCGATTTATATATATATTATCGCGTGTAAAATCTAAATATATATATATCTATCTCTCTGTCTACTTTCGATCTCATTAGTACGATCTAAATGTTTCGCTACTTTCGTAGCGAAAACTGATTTGTGCAAACGTTATTTGATTAATTACCGAGAAGACAAAGTAAAGCGACAGCTATATACGCGTCTGTCTCGAATCTACATCAATTCATGATCGTAGATATTTTTTCTCGCTTGCTCGCGTCGCTTTTCTGTCCTCGATGCTTCCTGCCGGAAATTAACGAGGGGACGGTAACGAATCGCTGCCTTCCTTCTGCCACGTGCGATCTTGAAATGGGCGACGATTAATCTTTTGCTTCTAAAAATATTTTTTACCGCAACAATTTGTAATTTATATAAAAATTAATTTGTAATTACACAAAAATTATAACTTTTATTTGGCTTATAGTTAATTATAATAATTCATTAACTAATAACGAGCGATTTTTATTCTAAATTGAAGCAACAGATTAGCGAAATAGTAAAATTTCTCATATCGTACTTTTCTTTGACGAGCAACAACGCTGTTGTTATTGCCGCCTTTTGTGAAAACGCGATACTTCCAAACTTTTGAGCGGTAGTGTATTTATCCGCGTACGCACGCGCGTTGATACACAAAATTGCTTCTAAATAACAGCGGCCGCTAAAAGGGGAACGCAAATATAGGACGAGGAGTGTCGCCAGCGGATGTGCAAGTGGCGACGCGACATAGTTTTGAAGATGAAACAATGAGAACTAGCGACACGGTCACTAGAGAGCTGGGAGCGGACTCGTTCGTCCGTGATCAATTTACTGTCGTTTCTCTGAACGCAATCGTCATCAGAGGTTGCGAATATATACGTTGCAGTGCGAAGAAACGACGAGAAGAAAAAGCACGTGAGGAAATCCGACTTGAAACTTCTGGACACAAATCTGATTAATGCAATCCGGACTGCTGTTTAATTAACGTAATAAACGAGTAATATTCGTAAACGAGGCAAGAGCAATTTTTGCCACACTTTTAAAGGGAAGAAATGCACAATAAACACGTTGTTCCAGTTTTCAGTTGAAAATATATAGCGACGACCGAGAGAAAGAAAGAGAAAGAGCGCATAGTACACTTAGTACTTTGAAATAATCGTATTACCGCCGTGCCAATAAGATTAAGATTAAACTTGCTCATAAATCAGAATAATAAAAGTTATGTAGAACTTTTGAAAACGTTAAATATTTCTCGAATTTTTAGTTCTCGAACTTTTAAAACAACGTGAATAATTTATGGTTTGTATTTTACTCTCTCGTGATATTTTCGACATTACCTTGATCTTACAAGGAAAGTGAAAAACAAGTTATTTCACGAGGTATCAAACAATTACATTTGTTCTCTTAATTACTCGACGAAATAGACAATATGATAATAAAATATCATCAAGATCTCGAAATTTCGTAAGCGCGTGAAATTTATAATTATTTTTGCGTTTGGTTTTTTATCGAATTTTGTCCTAAGTTGCGAAAGAGATGTTCTGATTCGATAAGAAAATTGAAAATCAGGTTTTCGCGCGAGATATCTCGAGCGATTACTTTCCTTTCACCGATTTCATTATATTCCACGCGATTTTTGTTGTATGTCAAGAACCGCGTTCCCAACCGCTCTCTTGTTCTTAACCGATCACGAACACGGGGTTTATTTCGACTTAAACGGATAATTGCTTGAAAAGAACAATTCGCATTTTCACTTCTCTCGATCTCTCGCGAGAGAACCGCCAAGGTTCTCTCTCGATACCTATATACCAGCGTACAAGCAAATTCCCGATAATTCCAAGTTTTGCGCAGTTTGAACCAGTTCAAAGAAAGCTCGAACTAGCTTTCTCAAAGCGCGGTAACTTTCTTCCTCCATTTCTCGGAAAGTCTGACACCTGAATGATGTAAGCGCAGCTGGAGTCATCAATACGAGCACGTTTTGAACTTTAGTTTCACCTTAGTATTATTTACCGAGACGCTTCGCACATTGTTTGAGTTATCGACAATTTGATCTAGTTCGATTTCATCCAACTATTTTGCGACTGCCGGCAACTCCGTTATTTCCGTCGGCGAGAGACATTTGATCGATAGTTTAGAATCAAAGCCGCGTTGTTGCAAATATTAATTACGCGCGCGCGGCGAACCCCGACGAGATTCTACTCCGTACTAATTCTACTTACATTTGCGCGTCATAGATACATCTATATCTTTTAGCCGCTGCGTTTTCTTAACTTTATTAATTGCCGCAACCTCATTGCGGCAATTCGATGCTTCGCTCTTGGAGAGATCATTACAAGTTAGGCGGCGAAGTGCGCGTCGTGCTCACTTACGTCAGAGATTCCCAACGTCTCTCGTTTCGCGAATCCCTTCCCATCGAAATCGAAATGTCGCATATTTCAAAGTACAAACAAGAAAAAGAGGACGAAGTGGAGTAAACACTTTTTTTGTATTAAAATTGATAAATATTATAATATGTTGTACTTACTGTGTAACGCAAATAATCTCTCCTTGGAACTCCCCATTTGGGAACCTCTGACGCACGTCGTCGTTGGCGGTGTGCATCTCGTGTGTGCATGCGCGAACGTACGTAGCCGCAGCAATTACTTAAAGCTTCGGTGTGTAAGACGTTCATGTAACTTGCTCGGCGAAACTTTACCGGTTACTCTCTTACAATTAGCCTCATCCATTAGTAGGCAGTCCGTTCCGCGGTTGTATGTCTTGCTTTAGCGCCCGCGAGTTTTTCCGTCGGTGTTGTGCACAAAGTTGTTTTGATGACAAGAAACGTGGTATTATACCGGTCATTACCGGTGCGAACGCTTGAGGAAACTCGGGCGTAATAAAGCGCAATAAACAAAGAAGGATTATCCACCTACGTATGTTCTTTCCCGCGTGTGATAATACAATAAAACTTCGAAGAGATAAATTGATTGAGACGCTTGAATTGTTGTGAAATGTGAAATTCATTAATCAACTCTGATACGCTTTTTCGCAATAGAAGCCGCGTGCTTGTAACGCGATACACAAAGGAATTACTAACTAACATTCTTACTGAATCGAGAACGCTTGATTAGCAATTATCGACGCGCCAACGCGGATTTTAACAACCGTTCGCTAGAGCGAGAGCGCCGCGTCGAATCCGACGTTAGTCTCTTTTCTTGCCGCATTGTTTCCGATGACAGGCAAGTCAATAGGGAACGCGTCGATTTGCATTCCCCGCTGAAAGCGAAACAATATCGCATTAATTCAGCAACACTGATATTAATGGCGGTTTGGTTGAGAAGGATGATCAATATCGTGAGGACGGGAGAAAAATGCGTCCTCCTCGGAAATCACTTTCGAAGAGATCTCGAGGAGGGGAAAGGGAAGAAGGAGATTATACGCCTGCGTTTAACCGAGACTCGCCTCCATAAATTACCGAATTAATCCCGAAATTAAAAAGGAAGACGAAACGAGGGAGAGACCGATTTCTCGCAGTCTCCGGGCATTGCGCATCGATTCTACAATTAGGTATCGGCTCGTCCGGACAGGACGAGGGCAAGAGTCAAATCGAGAAAGCCTCGACTTCCTTGTCTCAGAGAGTCATCTGGATGTACGTCTTCTCGTTCGTCTTCTCTCTGTTTATATCTATCTATCTCTCTCTTTTCCCCACTTTTCCCTCCAGAACCGCCAATTAGGTTAATTAACTCAATTATCGTTCTCTTTCACTCCTGTTTCAGGTGCGCACCTTGTTCGTGAGCGGCTTGCCGATGGACACCAAGCCGAGGGAGCTCTATCTGCTCTTCAGAGCGTACGAGGTGAGTTTCTCTCAGAATTTCCTCTCTCTCTCTCTCTCTCTCTCTCACTCTGTTCTCCCTATTTTATATATACCTAAATGTGTGTTTTGAGATCAAAGGATCCGAGTGAACTCAAGATTTGAGAAGCCAAATATTCCAATATTTAGCGACGCAAGGTTCGCGTTCACAAATGTAAACGAGATGTGATATCAAGGAAGCTAAAATTCTACGAGCGTTAATATTCTATCGCGGGATCGCATAATCGAAGAACGAGGCGGTTGGAAACGGAATTAAAACAAAATCTAAGATCTTTGAGGATCTCGAGAGATACGAAATGTATAAATCATATCTGTCGAGATGTGTAAGAGAATTCTCAAGTCTTTGAAATTTCATGTGTTTTGATATTTTAAGTACCAAACATTAGTTGTATTATATAAATTGTTATTTTGGTCACAATAATGTTTTCTTGAAAAATTACTTTAGATTCTGATGTATCTAACGTATTTACATGATAAAATATTAAAGCGTCGAGAGATATCTCTAAAAGAAGGGTGGCGCGTATAAAAATATTTTGATTGATCTCGATGTGTATACCTATTCGCATTTTTCTTCGAAAGAAAATGGCGCGGCTCGAGAATTTCCCCTTTCTCGCCGTTACGTCATCAATTTCCTTCATCCACCACGTCTGGTTGTTCATTCTCGCGTTTAATTCGTTGTTGAGGTGTTCAATAAGCTCATCTACATTCTACCGGTTCTCGCGTTACCACGAAACGCCACACGCGTTATGACTGAGGCGTTCGAACTGTATTCACAAGGGGAATTCCCCTTATGAATCATGCTCGTCTATGCCGACCGACCACCCGCTGCGAGAGAGAGGGAAGAAGAGATGCTTCCATAACGTCATATTTGCTCGGTTTGGAATCCTGTTGGTTTGTCTACAGGGTTAATTATGTTTGTGCTAATTACGAATTTGCATTTCAAGTTCTGAGACTGTGACAAACGTGAAAATTCGATAAGCTTCACGATGGTTATCGTATTTTCTGTAAATTGTTTACGTGTAATGATTTCTCGACTGTTTTTTAATTATCTTTAAACTCTTTGAAGACTAAAAAAAATAGAATAAAATAAAAATTAAATTTATATTTTTGAAAACTCATTACTTTATTAATTTAGACAGTAATATTTGCGTTCCGAATTTTGAAACCGTATGAAAGTATGGCGTTTATTATTAATGTTATTATTTATTATTCAATGTTGAAGTAAGAAAAGTAAGAAAACTAATAAATAATGTCAGTTATGTTTTCTGCTTCAATGTTCGGGACTTTTATTGACGCGCCGTCGATCACGAAGTGATCTAATCAACGACAAATCTGGCGAGATTGGTCGCGGTGACTGCGCTCGCGAAAGAGTTAAATGCGATCGGTACATACGCAAGCTCGAAGCGAAATTCAATCGCAATTTAAGCTGACAGTCGGTCGGAGAGAAAAGAAACCGCCGGTCATTTGTCGCCGCGAAAAGGTAGGACAGATGGAAAAACGGCAAAATTGTTCTCGCTCCATTTCGGAGATCTCGAAAGTTTAAATCCGGGAAGCTTCTCTCGAGCGTGTCGTTATTCGACGGCGAAAAAGACAGCGTACGGCGCGCATCTTTTTTTCGTATTTTTTTTTGCGCTCGGTGCGCTCCGTTTTTGTATATTCATGAAATCGTCGTGAGCAGCTCGCTCAAAGGGATTAGGATTAGTCGCGTGGGTGTGCTGGGAATTACATTTTGCTGGTGCCTTGCGCCGCAAGGCGATGTGTATACATAGAAACGTCCGAAAAGCGCGTCCTCCTCTTCTTTACGTAACAGCCCCGAGGCACTTTAAATAATGATTTTACGCGGCGAAACGTAATACTATAATTTTCCGATCGGTTTATCGACTAATAGAGGGGAAAAGATACCTATTGACTGCACAAAAGCTTTTTATTCGAGTCCTTTCTTCAAGGTTTTTTTATTTAAACTATCTAGTGAATTACTGTTATTGTTATTTCTGTTTGTAGTGTGTGCGCGTTCGCGTGATTATTATTAACGAATTTTATATTTAATTATTAATATCAATAATTGTAAAATATTCGCGCGCGCTCACACACACCAAATGATATATTAGATATCAGCAGTAAAAAAACTGAATTGAATTAATTCATGAAAATGATATTGCAACGTAATATGTGGATCAATTAGATACATTACGAATATTTATTTTTTCCGTGATTAATTTTGTTCGTACTTTGCAGTCGCCAAGTATTAAGTTTCCGCAAATTTTTTTTTTTTTATCGAAATTCAAGTCCGTATTATCTTTTCAAGAATTAAAAATCCCAAGTAAAATCTTACGTATTTGTTTACTTTGTTATAAAATATAAAACAAAATCGCATATTAAGTCTAAGAATTTTATCCTATTGTAAAAATATTCTTTTTAAAATTCAGATATTCGCGTCATAAAAGTATTGCTTGAAACGAGAAGAGATTCCGAAATCGGATCACGATGCAGTCTGCAAAACGCGGAAACGCGAACGTTTTCCACGCACAATGTGCATTCACGATACTAAGTGATATATATCGACGACGGTCGTCTCATATAGACGCTCGTATCAAAAGAGAACGTCACAACACGCAGTTTCTTGGCATCGATGCGTCCAACATAGCCGAGTTGATGTAAACCCAGAGAGACAATAAACCTTGAGTGAGGCGCGGGTGCGTGTTATTTTCGCCCGCAAATCTCGCGGAGTTCTCCGCGAGTTCTCCCGTCGCGCGAATTCGGATATTAATCGTCTTTGAAATATATCGCAACATTAAACGCGGCAGCGTGTAATAGTCGCGCGACTTGTTCCTCGCGTGAATTTACGGTCGAATTTTCATCGTTTCGAAAGACGAGCGATAGAGTATCAGTCGCTTCATCGTCATCGTGCTACACGAAACTTTCGGAGGAGAATTTCTGTGCGGTAACTATTTTGCACGGCGGCGCAGGCGCGTAACAACGAAAACTCGATTACGCTCTCCCGAGAGACCAGGTTTTTAATGACCGCGATATTTCATAGTTAAGGAAAGTTAATTAATAATGTGTGCGCGAGACCGGGCGAGCGCCAAGGAACGTTGGAAACGAACACCTAGGAAACGCGGTTGCAAATCGGCGCGCGAATCTAAGATAGTACATATTTAGATAGAGCAAATATATATGACAGTGCAATCTATAACTTCACCGCGCGCGTTGATTACGCATATTCTTAATGAGAAATATTGTGTGAGAAAACAAATTGTGACCGTTTTAGAGAAGAAATTACACAGAACTAATTGTTTGTAAGTTTGTTTTCCGAGTAAAATTACACAATTCTAGCGTTAAACATTTATAATTTTGTATGCAGAATTAAGTATTTAGTTGCTATTAGAAATTAAGTGATGTTTCACACAGTTGAGAAAGAGGTTGAATAATGACACGAGCTCGCGTATGCCAAGAACGTTGTATAGTAAATAACTAAGGAATTTTGCATATCGATCTACGCGATCTAGAGCTAACATTGTAAGATGAAATTAAAATTTAATTGTTTTTGTGCCGCGTGATTTATTTTTCATCGATGTGTCACACAATGCTCATGTAAATCGCGGAAAATTGCGCGAGAAACAGAATTTTTGCAATTTGCTCACGTGCTCAAACACGGACTTGAAAAAAACCGTTTCTCTCGCCACAGATAAAACGTTCCGAGACTTATGCTCTCTAATTGCGGTTTCGCTAATTAACGCCACAGTCGCGATCGCACGATTATTACCAGTTTGATATTCTAGTAATGAGCTCCGAGTTACGGTGTTCGCATGTAACCAAGCGCTCATCTCGCGTGTTCCACTTGCTATCATAAAAATTAAGAAAACGTTTCCACTGTGTGTAAGTTCTATTTTTATCTCTCGCGGTGGCAAGATTGTTGATAACGCGGTAACGAGGTATTCTACATTAATTTTGCGTTTTTTAATCTGGCTCGCGAGCAAATTAAAAACTCTCTTACGCGGTTAATAATTAGCTTTTCTCGCTTCTCAACGGGAGAAGCGAGTGGCGCGAGTGTTTGCGGTTAGATCGTTTGATAGTTTAACGCGACGGCCGTTGAGAAATTCGCAAATACCTTAGAATTTGTGTCGGTTATTTAATAAAATATGTGAACGTCTTGCCCCACTTTTCATCCGGTGCATCGCTATTTTTAATGGTCTCCGTAAATTCTGTCTCTAACGGATTCTCGGCAAGCGCAGAGTTTGGCCAAGTCACTGCTACGTACTATATTTTTCAAAATATATGTATAGCCCCGGAGAACAGGGAATACGTGTATTGGCCGTTGAAAAAATAAGTTTTTGTGTCCAATATTTTGTAACGACACCTTTGTGCAAGAAATGTGTGACAAATGTGTATTTCTTAATTTTCAGATTTGTTATGTGACAGAAATTGTCTGTTATTTATTTTAAGACAGAAACATTTAATACTATAACATACACATACCTATATATTCGGTATTATCTTGTTATTTGACCTCTTTAAATTTATATATCTTCCAAACTCATAAATATTTAGATCCACGTGTGCCAACTCTGTATTCTTGAATTATGACATGCTTAAAATTAAATATTTTAGAGACATTTGCATAGAATATTCGATATATATGTCTCGAAAATCTCTAAATATTTCACTGCTTGCTGTGCAGTGCTCGAGTATACGTGGCATGTAGAATGTTATAACCCACTTGTATATTTGGAGATATCTTTGCTATAATAAGTAACTGTATAAATCATACCGCGCGACGTTACGTTATTTCAAGCAAGATAATTAAGAAAAAACTTTGCAACGTGTAATTTGACTTTTTTTTTGTAATGTACACACACACATACACATTAATAAGCCGTCTAGTGACTGCAATTTTTTTGTTTTTCTTTGATAGATCTGAGTACACATTGTGAGAACGTATGTTTGCGCGATATTCCTGTTCGCATCTGTTTACACATACACACGACGACATGATGAATCGACGTGAGTGATGATAACGATCAATTTACACAATTCTTCGAGTGCGGATAACGATCTGAACGCACACGTTAAAATTTGCGTATAGGCTCGATACCATTCGTAAGCGCGTAAAATCGATTTCACGTTCATTAGAAACTCAATTTTGTTTGTGCAAGATAAAAGTAGATATAACAATGAGATGCATAAACAATGGATATATGTGCGATCAATGATAAATAATCGTCAAACTGCAAAGTTTCCTATTTTTAAGCAAAATTCAAATTGATATAAAGTTAAATAATTTTTTATTTAACTGTGTTAATTCTGTAACTGATCTTTCGGTACAATAGAAGTTTTAATAATGCAATGTTTTTTCCTGTTTTGTTCTAGGGGTACGAGGGATCGCTGTTAAAAGTCACGAGTAAAAATGGGAAAACAGCGTCGGTAAGTTGCTCCATCGCTTAATTAACGATATGATTCTGCCGACGTAACATTTTTCCCGGCGTATGCTTTTCAACGTTCGAAAAAGCACCTCTGTAGCTTCCAAAGCAGATTTGCCCTAGATACACTTGCAAGGCAGTTCGATACTATCGATATTTTCATGCACTCACAGAGACGAAAAGATAAAATTGAATCTTGCTCTCCTTTCCTCGACATTTCTAGAAAATCTATATGGTTCGGGAAAATTCCAAATCAATTACGTCGAATAGTGAAAATGGCGACATACAAACTCTCTTTTTCTCTCTTTCTCTCTCTCTTTTCCTGTCTCCAGCACGTCTATTCTCGAAGGAAAAGCGAATGGAAAAACTTGGACCGCAAGTTTCGATGGAATGTTCAGGCTATAGGAGTTTTACGCGATTTTATGCGTTCTCAGCTCGCGTGTTTATCGATTCGTCATCAAAAGTCGCTTTTTACTATAATAGACTTGACAATATATCATATCAGCATACATATAAATATTCTTGTATAGCTAAATTATCTACTTACTTCATGAAAAAAGATGGATAAAGAAAATGCGATGTGAACGCACACAAAAATCGAATTCGCGAGATTTACAACTGCGAATTGGAAATGTTCCGCGATAATTATTAAAACTAGCTAATGCTTATGTTAAAACCATTCTGTTTTTGCCAAAGCGCGCGCGCGTTGATTACGTGAGTCACGAAACCTTAACAATATCTAATCAGCCGACAGAGAGAAATACATCAAATTTCATCATGCGGCAATGCCGTCGCGCGCGCTACTCAACTCGGTATAATCCCTCGAGATAACATTAATTTATGCAGCGACGTTGAAACAAGCACACGCGAGAGAGGGCATATACCACTGACGTAATAAAATCTCTAATCCATAAAGCATTTTAACATTTTTCTTACCCCTTTGTATATTTATTTTTTTCTTATTCCGCGGCCTTTTCACTTGTGTATCTCGCGCGCGATACATGCAACGGCTTTCTAAAATAAAACCTCGCCGATCGTATCGACCGCAAAAGAATTGCTTTTCACTCGAGGAATGTTGTTGAATAGCAAATTACGAAAAGAACTAATTACCCAAAGATACGGAGCTACAGCAAATTTGTGTAGATTTAGCTGATCTGCTGACCTCTCTCTTCTTTCGAATTACCGGTAATGAGTATAACGGAGCTTTTTGCGAGACGCGTATGCAAATTATTATTGTGGCTTAAATAATTATTGAAATAATTTCGAATTGCGTATTTGTGCGCGCGAGATACATACAAATATATTATAATATTTTTGCTATGTATAATTTATTTGTCTTTGAAAAAATAAATTGACTCCTTTGATGGAAATAGATGTAGGTACGGTGGTCTAATGTTAAATATCAAGAAAAAAACCTCGCAATATCCAAACAGTATTTATTAAACTCACCTACGCGTATGTGCGGCATCGATTATTAAAAATAATCCGCGAGAATATTCCACGGACAACAAAGTTAATAACACGTTTTCGTTTCTGCATGTGGCTTGACCTCATTGTAAGCAGCGCGGAACGCGCGAGCGACTCGTAATGGTCGCGGTGATGTAATTGGATATAATACAGGCAGAATGCGAATAAAACGAGGCGAGAGAGGCACAGCTTCCGTGTGAACGGTGCCTTAAACCTCCTTGGCCACTGGCACGGTTGGGTACGACTGACTCTGGTGCGAATCGATACCGGGTCGGGCCGGTCTTTCCATTTGTTTCCTTCGGTCGTCATCGTTGCGTTGTCGGGGGGAAACGAAAAGCGCAGGAAAAGGAAGAGTCGCGTTCTCTCAAAAAACGTGCGAGGAGAAAGACTCGAAGAAAGATTTTCAAATTGTTGTTAGGAAGCTTTTGTTGTCTCGCATTCTTTCGTTATCAGGTTCGCGACGTGCCATTCGCGAAGTCCGCACAAAGCCCCCCTTTGTACAGCCGTGATGATGATTTATATCCTTCGCGTTGTGAAGTTGCCGTTGAAAAATCTTCTACAAGCGAGAATTTATCTCTTCTTGATCCAATTGAGATTGCAGTTCTTTTCAAGATGGATTAAATCTCTCCGACTCGATTTTAGCTTAGTCAGATTAAATCGATCGCGTATAACGAAGAGACACAATTCTCAAATAGAGAGAATTTTTTCTCGCCCGCTATTAACTTAAAACAAATTCCAGTTATAAAATACGATTGGTCACCGTAAGAGTCACTTAGTGTTTGTCTTGCGATAATTGAGCTGATATCGCGTCGTCTATTCGTTTTTAAACAAGCTTTATCTTCTTCGGGTTATTCACATCTAAATTATTGATATCAGCTAAGTTAGTTTCCGACGAGAAAATAACGCGATCGATAATTTTCGAAGTTTGGATATTGCGATTTTATGATTGTAATTAATTTTATATTGCACGTACGCAGTGTTGAACAACCGTTTTGTTGCGTTACATTTATCCAATATTTATGTAGTTTTAATTACTGTATTTTGCTCAATTTTTCATCCGTTTTATTTTGTTGCGAATTACGTGTAATGGTCAATTTTCGAGGAAAAAAATGGAAAAATCCTTCCGATGACGCGAGAACCGTAAAAAAAGCGTATTAAATCCTATATTAAACGCGCGTTTTGTGTCACAGCTTTGTGTCGCGACTTTCTGAACAACGTGCGACGTTGTAAAATCCGTAGGCGTAGGCGTATCGTAATTCTCCGGCCTTTCGATTATATGTGACCAGCGGTGCGGCACGCGCGCGAAGTGGCGCCTCCACCTGCCTTTATCTGGGGTTACGTGCATAATTGCATGCGCATTTACATGGCCTTATGGTGCGCGCACACACGGCGAACAACACACGGGCGCGAGTTGCCGCCGCGATGGCGACAACCACCGCACAAAGAACAGCGGCACCTGGAAGAAAAGCCGATACGCGTCGCAACGTCGTCGTCGCGGTTCGTATACACATCAGGTGCACATGGTGTACATACAACAACAGCAACACAAAAAAAAAAAAAACGGAGGAAGAAAAATACAGTGGAAAGAGGAAAAATCGATCGCGTCTCTCCGTCGGGCGATGCACGCATGACCATTAACCTACATCTCATCACGATATGCACGTTAGGTATAAAAAAAAAGAAAAAAAAAACAGCCGCTCGGGCGGCGAAACGACATTACGTTCGGGTATTCCGTGTCCCGATAAGAATAATTCCGGGTATTCGCGTAATGCGCACGCTATTACGGTAGAAGCCGCGCGTGTACTTGCCGCACGCGCACGAGACTATATACATCTAATGTTCGAATCGATGGAAACGGATTGCATTCGCCGCGAAATAAAAATGGGCCGACGGGCGGTGCGGTTATTGCGAGAGCTATTACATGTGCATACAGAGTGAAAGTGCGGCGTGTTAGTTTTCCTGGTTTGTTTTAACCACCGACAACGTGATATTAGTTCGAGATTATTTTGTTTTTTTTTTTTTTCAAATCGCCGATTATGAACTTTCTATAGAGCTGGTCTTACAGGTGTTACAATCAGTATAATTTGCGATGTAACATGCATTATATTGTAAAAAAATATCCTACTATTATATTTTCAACACAATTATTTTGATCAATCGATGAGATAGAAGTGCGAGAATAAGAAACTGCTTAGAAAGTTTGTAGATAAATAAAATACCGTTTGCATTATACATGTGATGTTTCCACCCTCGGAAAATCTGCTCCGAGCTCGACCGAGAGGAATCCAATTTCATTCTTTCGGGTGCATGAATATTCGAGAGACGTGGCGCGGAAATAAAGGGCAGCGAGTAACGAATCCTCCGCGAGCGCGTTAACGATCGAGTATTTCCTATCTCTCGGCATCGCGGAATCGACACCTTCGACTGCAGCTGGTTGCAATCACGTGATGCATTATGAAGCGCAGGTAGGTTCGCCTTGACGGACGATCGTTAGCGCGCGCGGATTGATCCGCGCGTTTTCGCGTCGCGACCCTCGGCGTCCTCGTTGCTCCGTTAATTCCGTATAAAACCGATGGAATCGATGCCGTCTACGGAATAAATTAGCGAATGCGCGTGCGCGCGCGGATATGAAAGAGCTATATTAAGAAATGTGTGAAAATTTACGAGAGAAAGAGAGAAAGGTAGCAACAATGTGACGTGCCGTTTCAAAAGTTCTCGATTAAATAACTAAAATATTTTACACGACCAGGATTGTGGTTTTTAACCTCCAAAGAAAAGTTAATAATCACAAGAAAATACATTAATTGTAAAAAAAAGAGCAAATATATCTGGAAATTAAATTTCCGAGATGATGAAACTTTCTCACTGCCTGCAGAAATATAATCGTGATTCGTAGTACATAGCATCTGTTTATCTCATTCATTATGGCTAACGCGATAGACGTTCCCAAATGGGAACGCGGAGAGCGATGCGAAGAAGGAGCGATGGATGAAGGAGAGACGCGTCAACGACTAGCGCAAGCTCGCTCGCCGGCGCGCGCTAACGGCGCGGGCAACGAAAACGCGTATTTAATGAACGCCCGCCGGGAGCGAGATGCTAATCGTGGACGCGACGAATGGCAACGTGCTCCTCGTTGTATATTCGTTTTCTTTTTGTCTCGTTTCAGCCGGTGGGATTCGTGACTTTTCACACGAGGGCAGGCGCGGAGGCGGCGAAGCAGGATCTGCAGGTAATAGCCCTTTTCTCGCAGGCATCGCGAGAAGTGAGGCAAGTGGGGAAAAAAGATAAAGGTGATGGACTCTGTAGCAGGGAATCTCTATCAGGGTTGACGCGCGGATTTTGATACAGCCATTATATATACGTACACACAGTGACACACTCACTCGTTACACAGATATACCCGGCAGTTATTATTATTATTTTTTTTACAATTCCACCCTGCCTTAGACTCTCCAGCTGGCACGGGTTAATGCTACCTCTAGCTCTTTTACCTTTATTAGTTATTATCACCCACGACCTCTTTCTGTCTATCTGATACTTCATCTCTCTTTATCGTATAGCTTTTCTATTTTTCTTTCTCTCATTAGGACTAAATGTAGTACTCCCTTTTGTCTACCTGTATACGTAACAAAGCATATAGTAATAACGCTGCACCGTGTGGCATTATCGGTATATCTATATATATATATACATATAAATATATATATTTGTATATATACATATATTTATATATGTGATATGTGTTTGCCTTCCGACAAGAGTATCATGCTGTTGCATATATATATATATACATATTATATATTATATATATATATATATCTGAATACGTGCACGAAATTTTTCAGGTGTGTCAAGAATAAATATTCGCGATCGCCATAAGAATAAAACCAGACTACACGCGTATTCCAGATTCGTGAGTAATGCAAAGAAAAATTTTTGTTCAATTCGCGTATGTTGAATCGACAAATTTTCTCTTCGCGCTATATTCACGAATTTCCACACGGAATCGCGCATAGTCTGGCTCCGTTTTTTAAATCACGTGTCCAAAATGAAAAAAAAAAAACAATTACAGATAAAAGTTTCTTAGTTTTTGCATTTTTTTTTTAGAGTTTTATAAAGCAAAACCGTTTTAAATATTTTTTATGTAGTGTAAAACACATTTTAAAACTTTTAGAGAATTATTTTGCGTTCTAAAAAGTTGAAAAACATTTCTATTTTGCAAACGTGTATAGTTACAAACTATATTTATATATAACGTGCGTGTACATATTGTATATATATATATACATATATATACATATGTCTATGTATGTATCTGTAAATAGACATATCTACGGGGTGATCACTTTCGGTTCAGAAATATTCTCGCTCAAGACGTATTTTTTGAAGTATGCGCGATTTTAAAACACGTGGAGCAGCTTTCGTTGTACAGCGACGATCGAATTTTTCGTCATGACCGTTGGTCACCCCGTAAAGCTCCTGTATACCATACCGTTGCAACTAATCTCACGCAATCTGCAATGTTATATAACTCCAATATGGCAACGGTATGTACACTACTACGTACGAAAGTACCTCGCGTAGAGAAACATCCTTTTGTCGGATGGACACGTTCGCTAGATCCACCATTTCCGCTGGAACCGACTAACGAGCGGCCCACCTTCTGAATACACCTACAAGAAGAGAAACACATATTATACACATATACACATACATATATATATATATATATATATATATATATATATATATATATATACATATTACCCTTGTGCTAAGTTTCCTTGTACCCGGTGTGATCTCGTACTATTATTATATCTACGTCACTTTCGTCGCTATCCGCTCGTGGTTCGATCAACCTTTTCAATTTAATTCTGCACGCAAGAAAAATGTGTGTGCCATAACAGATATAAAAATAACACATCATTTTCTATAGTTCTATTTTTTATTTCCAAAAATAATTTTTATGTTGTATATAATATTAATAACAATATTTATAGAGAAGAACAAAAGTAAGAAAAATGTAATTCTGTACGATATTAACGATTTATTTATTACTTTTTAATGCATTCTTATGCAGTAAGAAATTTATTAAGTAATAAGATAGCTTTACTTTGAAGAATCGTTCGGAAGAATAACGGAGTATGTAAATCTTACTGTAATTTTGTACTGTTGCATCGTGGTGATAAACATTGGATAAAAAAAAAAGAAACTACTTTTATATCGTATATCCGCTGACGATTTATGATTATCGATTAACATCAACATGTTGTAAACATTAATCTAGCTCACTTTTACGTTAAATTCATAATGTAAAATGAATGATGTCAACGCAAAACGTATTGCAAACAAACAAACCGCCGCGGAAAACGCGCCGCGAACACACATCATTATTCGAATAAAACATGATATTTCAATATTTCTGTGGTTATTACCATATGTTGAAGTAATGCAATACTGCAACACTTTAAGTATGGTAAATATTATACACGCGAAACAAATTTCTTTTGTACTTTTTTTAAATATTTAAGTATTTTAGCATAATATTTATTTGTCGTAATTTAAACGAAAAGGAAGAATCAACCTAACAGAAGTTAGTGACGAAAGGTGCTCACACTGTCGCTCTCTTCTCTCATTCTCTTTTTTCTCTTTTTTCTCTTTTTTTTCTCTCTTTTTCTCTCTCTCTTGCCTACTACACTTACTTACCACCGTCCATCCACGTGTGCTCCCGATTTACTAATTTAGGGAATCTATTTGCAGCAGGGGGTTAGATTCGATCCTGATATGCCACAAACCATACGTTTGGAATTTGCAAAAAGTAACACAAAGGTTAGCAAACCCAAGCAACCAGCCGCTGCAGCAGCCACCTCGCACCCCGCTCTGATGCACCCTTTAACGGGACGTAAGTATGCACCGCCACTTGATCACTCGCTGGATACGTCTCACTTACTACTTCTCACCCACTGCACCGACTACAAAGTGTCCCACTTCCTGTTGTCACTCTCAGCTCTTTTTTTCAAAAGAAGTTTTTTTTTCTAAACGTAACGTACCTTCCTTTGCGCCCTTCCCCGACACACCTCCCGTTCCACATCATCTCCCGCCGACGGGGGATTCCTGTCGTACGAGAGAATCGTAAGGTAAATGTTTCAATGACCCGACGAGTATCACTGGTCGGACATTTGTTAAAGAAATAATTAAAGCGTTCACATTTGCGTAAAGTTAGAAATTAATAACTAAAAAACTATTTTAAAAATATCTTAAACCATTGAGAATTCTTGAATTAATATTTACTTATTGTAATTATTTTTTTAATAAATATCCAATTATATATATGTATACATATGTGTGTAAATATATATATATACATATATATATATGTATATATACACATATATATGTCTGTTCATTGAGATTACATTTATCTTAACCGATCAAAAGGGTTTCTCGCGGTAATCTCCGCGTCGTTTAACGACCAACACTGTTCTGAAACTAAGTGCGTACAAGCGGGATGAATATGGTATTACACGTGGTTAGACAATGGCGCTTATACGGCGCGAATTATCGCGCTCGTTCACGACGGGATCGGGCGGTAATAATGACTCGACGTTGAATGCGCGGATGATCCTCAATTTTCGCGATAGGATATACACCGCAAATCTGCAATCTGTTTAAAGTCAACACTTGCTGTTATTTTCTCAAATAACATTGAGAACTGCCCTTTGTCCCGCGTGTTATTCGACATTCAGATTTGTTTGGCTGATCCGTCTCTAATTTGTATTTATTTATTTGTTAAAGATTTTGCATATTTTACATATAAATTATGTGAGGTTGTTTTTATTGTGTGTGCGTGTGCAAAAAGTTCGTTGAAAGAGTTACAATTCGAACATTTAATTAGTTTATTCTTAAAATTAGTCGCTCAAATGAAATGACTCAAGCGCGCGGTCATCATTTCATGTGCGATAAAGATGGACGGAAAACACACGAGGCAAATAATTTCCAACGATAATGAGTAAACGAATTTGTTTGAAAATTTGAACTACACATGAATTAAATTTACTTTGTAAATTGGTATTGCGTTCTCTGTTCGTGTTTTGAGACATTTTGTATGCGAATACATTTTGAACAGTTTGTCGGTCGGTCATAATTAGCATTTATTCCGTGACTGCACGTAGGGGGAAGAATCTCTAGTAAACAAGGATTAAAAGCCGCGAAGAGTGTAAATAGTTTACACGCACGTTTATTTACTTTATTTGATCCGCGTGTTCGATAATATACGTGAGATGATTCCGAGCGAGCTTACAATTAACACGGCTTAATGGCGAGCATAACAAGCGTTATATGTTAAAGCGTATACTACAGCGAAGAAAGTGAACACAATTCGCAGGATTGCATTTTGTAAAAGAGAAAGACGCAACCGCGCGAACGCATCCATCGGATATCGAACGAAAATAATGGAACAAAAAGAGCGGAATAAAGTTGAATAAATTCCGGAGTCTGCGTGTGGCCGTGTACCTATATTGTGTGTTACGTGCGTGTTTTGCGTACACAATAAATATGTATTTATGTCACATTGCGGAAGCCGACTTGTCGGATGGACGTAAAGCGCATTAGTTTTCGAAGAAAACGGCAACTGCGATAAATCTTGCGCTTGTCACGTGAGCGTCGTCTGATTTCTCTGCGTCGGATAGGTATGTAAGATCGTCTTTATTTCCACGATATTCAAACGCACCGCTCTCTTGCATCGTGTATATACGCGTCAGCGACATTAAATAATTTAAAAAATAAACAATAATTAATTTTTTTCACATATAAAAAAGGTAAAATTTCCTTTAAAAAAGAAATTATGATAACGCTTTTAATTTACGCGCATGTTTTTTTATTTTATCTTTATACATCTGACTAAAAACTTCCAACAGAATGGTCTAAATAGACAATAATCCTTTTAGACTGTATAATTGTTTAAGCAATGTTGTGAATTATAATTGAAGAGTCATTACCGAAATGTTACACAGTATAAAACGGAGATAAATCAGATATTTAATTAACTAAAAATGAATAGAGTATCATCAGCATTATCTGCCTTGACTGGTATCAACCGTTAATGGCGTTCTTAATATTGCGCAAATAGACCTTTATCCAGAGCGTTGGGAAATTTCGCGGAATAATTTTGTTTTACGCGCGGTAGCAGTTACCTACACACACACACACACACATGTATATGTATATGTATATATATATATATGCGATGACCCAATTTCGCGGCGTCCACATGCCGAGTCACGTCAATAAGACATAATCGAACTAACGTATCATCAACGAAGCCACGTTACCTTTTGATTGCCGAAAAGTCGGGAATAAAGTTTCAAAAATAATTTTGCTAACTGACTGTTCTTGATGAATTTCTTCTAAAACAGCGTTTGTGATATTCACAGATGAGTTCCATTTGTTCAAAATTAGACTGCTTTTTCGGAAATCTCGGTCGCAAAAATAATTGACATTGCAAGATAAAGCGCGGGAATCATGTATAGATAAGTGCCTTGAAGATTGATGGATTTCGAAATTCGTTGTTGCGTTTCCAAACTTTTGCGGAGTTGTATTATTAGTCGAAACTTCGCAAATTTATCCGAAGTAATCGTTGTTTCCAAATTCAAATTTAAGTGTAAGCAGTATCTTGGAAAGGATTTATGTATTGACGCGCGCCGGAGTTAAAGTATAATCTTCGCGAAAAGTAGCTCAATTTGTATGTAGACACGTGGAATAAAAATTTCTAGCACAGTTTGCGTGTGCGCAATTATTTTAGTGTATCACACTTTTGATTATTTAAACAAATATCAAAAGGCATGGTACTGTAACGTCACGTGACTTTACTTTGGTCACGATTTTAAAGACACTTGACTAAAGTCACGTGACTTTATTTTAGTCACGTGTCTGTAATTAAAAGTACGTGTTTGTTTTGTCTCTTACTATCAGAATGAAAATATTATTTCGATCAATATAATATGGGTATACGTTACGTCCAAGTTCTATTATATGTACATATACATAGTAGAACTTTAGCTGACACAGATTCCGTAATAACTTAAGCAATCATATCGTTCTTATAACTCGTTCGGATTTCTTGCGTCGATAATAAGATGTAACTCATACAAGAAGTTTCTACACTTCGAGTAAGCAAACAAAAAACGCTTACTAGCTCTTCGCGAGATTCTCAACAATATTTACAAAAAATCATTTATTTATAGTCTAACGCGAGTTTATGTAATTAAATGTTTTCGCGCGATGAAGTATGATCTCTGTTACAAATTACTTTTAATAGATATGTAAATATGCGACAAAAATAATAAAATCAAATCATGTTTTATTTTCTACAAGAAAGCAATCTTTGTATTTCGAAAAGTTGATCATTTCGATCGAAATATAATGGAAATTGGATACTTTCTCTGTGTACTCAGGAATATATTCTGTACACATTGCTGCGAAATTCGCTCTCTTCACTGAGACACAACGCTGGCTTGTTGCATATCAGAAGTTACGCGCGCGCCAGCGCTCACAATAAAATTTATGATTACCACCTATACTGCTCACCAGTGAATTATGGAGGAGAATAGTCGTAAGGAATAATCAGGTCAAATTGTATCTACGCGACCGTTGGTAGTGGTCGTTAATGTCTGACGTGTTGTTGAATATGTCAGTCGCACGAACAGCTCTATATTTTTCTTTTACGCGAAGGTAGAATCAAAACGATTCGCAAAGCAAACAAAGATTACTAAAAATTTCAGATTACTAAAAATGTCGGTACAATTTTAACGAAGGTCTTATTAGATCCATTAGGCTTTTTCAGCGGAATTTTTTGTTGTTGCAGGACGTAAAAATTTAATGTTTAAAGATAAATTACAAAAGTAACAAATTCTTATACGTAATTGAGAAAGATCAAACCCGTAAAAACGTAGATAGTGTGAATAGGAAAGAGTTGTATTTCGTAAGACCTAAGTTGCTAAGTTTAAAACTAACTGTTCGACGGTGTTACGTATCGGGAAAGAAGAAAACGTGTATTGCGCGAATGTGTCTCACTGCGCAACGATCTAAGGACACTCAACAAACGCGTGAGAGGTGTTAAATAAAATGTTTCGTGGTAACTTTCATTAACGAGCACACGAGAATTGAATAACTCCGATGAGAAGAGAGTAATAAGAACTGTAGAACGCGAGTCATCGAGAATGAAACCTGTTATTATAATCGTCGTGACATGCATGTACTCCGAGTGCTTACTGTGTTATTTTGAAAAAAAAAAACTGCGCACTCGTTTTTCTTTTTATCGTTCAATAATTACTGTAAAAAAGTCTGTCATCAAAAAACTTAGATTATCTAAATTTTCACACGATATTGTTATATCGACGCGATTTGACCTTTAAATTATTTCATTTATTTCTCTCTATGTGATATCCTCTTTTTCTATTGTGTTCACTTTGCAGCGCTTAATATCAAATATTAACGCAAAGAAGAGAATGAAATTTTTTTTCTGAACGTATTTAGTCGCGTAGAAAAGCCCAGGTTCGAATAAAGTCGAAATAAATTGGAAAGCCACGCGTTGTTTTCCGATTCATCGGATTCACTCGTCGCTCGTGAAATAAACAAGAAAAAAAGACTGTAGAAAAAAAAACCTAGTCGAGACAACGATGAGAGCTTTCATCCTATGTAGACGGTGGCGCGTTTACTCGAGCCCGAGTGTGTGCCTCACCATGCGAATCGGAGGTCAGCCTGGAATCAATAAAGTGCACAGTTCTGGCAAGGACTAAAAACACACACCGCGCCACACGGCGACGCGCACACACATAAAAGACTGCATGCATTGGCTTTTCTGTCGGGGCGAGAGAGCGGCAACCGCATTTTGATAAGAATAAAGTCGTTTCTCTCCGCGCGGGAGGTTCAAATCTCGGGAGATTTCACGGTGAACCGAGTTTCCGGCGCGAGTTGAGAATAACTTTTGTAAAAATTGTCGCAGATTTTTCGCGCGGGGGCACCGGGAAATTCGTCGGCTCGCAAATGAGAATACACGGTGCGTGATATTTCAGACATAATTAGATTCCACGTTCGGAATTAGTTATTCCCTTTAAACAAGTTTGAAAGTAAATTTATTCACAATAACAAGGAAATATACAATGCGATGGGAGGGGAAAAGGAAGGTGGATTTTCATTATTGGGGATATGCCAGAACGGAAGCACAGCCCAATTAAGCGGTTATGTAAATGTAATTATTATTATTTATTTGTTTCTTTATTTCCGCTCACACTTTAAGAGCTTCTCTCGAATATAAAAAAAAAAACGGTTGAAATTACTCGAGTTTTAATCGGAATTTGTTGCATTAATTACATTAATACAATTATAATGTATACTTGAATTTATATTGTGTCATAATTTGTTACGTACAATTATAATTTATAATAAGAGAGTATTAAAAACATTTTCGCGAAGATATAATTTCGATTAAATTCAACCGCGGAATCAGGTTGCGCGGACATACGTACAAATAGAAAGTATTGTATTACGTATCGCTCGCAAATAATTTCCTTTCACTGTATTATAGACATGTGTGTTCACTGAAATACGCGATTGTATACTCGCGACATAAATGCGGAGTGATTGCGAGCACGTATATCGTTGAAAGTACACTTTATATTTTCCGTTATACATTCTTGCATATCATCGCACTGCGTAATCATGATATTTGTTATTGAGTGCGATAGATACGAAAAGTGCAAATGTATCGCACGGTCAATCTAGAAGATGCGAATTTAGATTTTTGTGATGTCCACTCGCGCGAGGCCGCATAATAAGAGCGTCTTGTTGCACAACCGACCCCGGTAATTTGTGTAGAGTAGCGGGTAATTGCACGTTCGTGACAAATCGCAAGAAAAGGCGCGGCTCGGCGTAAAATTCGCGCGTAAAAACCTCGCATCGATCTCGTCGCGACATTGACGCGACAACGACGATGATGCGAGCTGCAAAGCAAAATAAAGTCATTTGCGAATTTTGTTGCGACAGAAAAGTCATGCAGTTAAACTGCGTCATTAAGCCAATGTGTAATGAGGCTTGCTCGGAAATGAAGTAGGTAAGCGCTGGAACGCGACAGACATGCGACGTAAACAGTAGATACATGAGAATTGCATAACGAGAAACGCAGCACTAGAAACGAGACCATCTCGCGAATCGCTCGGAAGACACTCGGCTTCGCCATTGTCATTGGCTTGTAACGTCTAATCATAAGTCCCTCTCCAGCAATCCGCCGCCGGCTTCCGAGAAAAGAACAATTTTTTTTTTTTTTACGCTGTTCCGTCGGCGATTACGCTCGATGGCGCGCACTTATACCATACCATTACACCGGCATTGTCGCGAATAATCTCTGCGTCGGAGTACCTGCCGGAGCGGGAATATTCTAAAATTTTTCTCGGACATATCGATAAGGTTTGAGTAATAAAAATATATGTTTTATGAATAAAATAAAAATGCGAGTATTTATATATATTTTCCACAAATAGAAGAAAAGAATTGCTATATAAAATCGGCGCGCTTGACGACACAATAGTTTAACTCAAACAAAAACAATTAAAACTTGCATCAATTCCAATTTTACGCAAGGCTCGTGAACGTTTTTTTTCACTTTTATCAATTATATCGCAGAGCGTGGTATTGTAAATCTTTAACTTGTTCGAGCTTTTGTTCAGCAATACTTTTAATCTTGTTATCCAACTCTTCGAAATCTCCGAGTATCATAATTAATGTTTCCGTCTTCGAGCGTATCCGTCCGGCAAAAAAGAGCTCGTAAATCGGATAGTAATCCAGTCGTGTAATCGCGCAGGACTCGCAAAACGTCGATCAAACTGCTTCTACTTCTCTTCAAGCACGCGGAAAATAAATGATCTTTCCGTTATCCTTTTTTTTTCTCTTTACGCCGAGGACATGTGATCTCGATTGCAAATAGGACGAGATAATTCTGCGTGCGATATTTTTATGCATCATTATTCATTAAATAACAAACTTCAAAATATTGTCAAAATTTTATTGCTAAATGCGTGGGACACCCGCGGTCGCAGGATGCATTTCATATATCGAACACAACACGTTTCATGCGATATTCAAAATGTCTTGTTATGAAACGTACATAACACGGCTCGGTGACCTAATAATAATATCATTAGTTTTATTTGTTATAGAGAAGTAAAGTAAAAGCGGCTTCTGTGTGAAAGACACACTGAACATATCTGTGTCAGAAAAATAGTAACAAAAAATGTAAAATAAAATCTGTGAGAACATTCTAAAGCTTTAAAAAAAATGTAATATACTAATATATATTTTATTAAAAATTACTGTTTAGTAAAATTTTACATAAAAGCCGCTAAAATAAAAAAAAATAACTTGAACTTAATTATGGGATATTTATATATGTATTTATAAGCAGGATGTCTACTGAACACTCTTCAAAAAGTATTTCAATATATTTACATGTTTAATTTTTACTATTAATTTGATGGAAATTCTGGATTCTGAACTTTTATGTATAAAATGTTTTTGTGACCACACTGGGTTTAGTAATTTTGTTATGAAAATGTATATGATTATATAACTAAAAACATTAATTGTAGTAACAAAAAGATAATAAATAGTATAGACTCTCTGCGAGAGTTAACATTAAATTAAAAAGAAACTTAAAAATACTAAAACTTTTGCGCACAAAACCCAGCGTTTGCTTCTATCTGATTCTTTTTCTTTTTAATTTAATAATAATTGTTGTTTTATACAACTGGAAACCGTATGTATACGCAAAACATTTATAACGTTAAAACAAAAATATTCGCATTTCCGTCATTGCCAGTAACAGTAGACGTCTTGACGGGCAAGAGAGAGCGCGGTCCGCGACCGCGCGTTTAATTACTCGGGGGAACGACTTCTATCTAATCCTGTGCTCTATTGCAGACCTAGGGAGCCCGTTCTTCCCCGGCGGTCCTGAGTTGTGGCATCATCCACTGGCGTGGAACTCTACGGCTGGCGAATTACCGGGCACGCTGCAACATGCGACGCTGGTGCATCCGGCGTTACATCCTCAGGTCCCCGTACGTTCCTATCTTTGACTATCTGCAGACAAAGCTCTGGAGCCGCCGACGAGCGCCCCGATGCACGTTAGTGATATACATGATCGTTATACACGATTACTCTTTACACGGTAACAAGGAGATTACTCGCGAGAACTCAAGGATAACGTGTGGACCTTTGGATCACACGACATCTTGAGTCCTCGACTTGTAAATTCTTAGGAATTTTAAAAATTGTTAGATTCCTCTAGCACTTTGAGTCTTCTCCCGTCGGGTAAAACTTATGTGTTTTTTTTCTGAATTTGAATAGGCGGTGTCTCGCCGGTCATCACCGCATTATCCTTGAATATTTGATCAATTTGAGATCGACTTTTTGAGAAACCTTTATATAATCAAGTTGTAAAAAATCAAACTTTAATTTAAATTTAAGGAAACAATACGCGACTTTGTTGTATAGTTTTTATTCGTAATTTTAAAGGTTGGTTTAGTTGCGAGGAAACGTTGCTTGTCAATAGTTTGCAAATCAAATATTTGTCATTGGAATTGCGGTGATGGTAAGTTACTCTATAACCGTAATTACATAAAAACCAATATTATTATAGGATAATTATAACTAATAGTATCATATAGATCACATATGTACATACAAGTAACATCAATTCTCTCTCTCTCTCTCTCTCTCTCTCTCTCTCTTTACGTACGCTTACATTGTTAACCGACATATCTAAATATTATTATTATATAATGTACATCACTATATAAATCGATAGTGTGCAGCTTGTTGTCGCACTGCGCGTTCTCACGTATTACACAGAAAACATGTGGTCGTGTGGATTTATGTCACGCAAGCCCCGAATCGCGCGGAGTTACGAAACTATTGGGATGCCCTCTAAAGTTTCTCCGCGACGTGGATTAATTATGGCCGCTGCGGACTGACGTTAATAAATCCATGGCTTACTTTTTCTGTGACGCGACATTTTGGTCCGGTCGCATCCGTATTTTTTGTGTTTCAGTTAATTTTATCGAGAAAGTTGAGAAATACTGTTTAGAACTTCGCTAGATAGATATTATTAGGCTCGTAAAACGGTCGCTACTAAGACACAGTTACCTTCGCGGTTATTAATGAAGATATATGAGGTGTAAGTCGCAATCGTAAGTAATACAGATAAGCAACACGTTAGAAAATTAGCAGTTGTAATTTAAGAGCTCGTGAAAAATTCAATGAAAAGAAACACTAAACAAGAGCATCACTCATTTCTCTTGGATTTTTCTTTTCTTTTCATTCGGAATCTCGTTTTATCTATTTTTAAGATGTAAATTACGTACTTGTTAAGAGAATATTTTTATTTTTTCAAAATAATATCTGCGAAATGTTTCGTAAGGTTTATTCGAAATATTGTGAAAACTTCTCGCTACACTATCCGTAATACTTTCAATGATACCCTCTTTACGATATCTGGTGGCACGAACGGTGTGGTACCAATCTGCCGAACCGCACGGTCTATTGATTTTTAATATCGCATAAACTTGTGCCAGGTTCATACGGGTACCTTTATCGCGCATTAATGCCAAATCTGATGGCAAACTATTTACCGATTCCCTCGATGATAAATAGTACGGCCGCGCGTAATCACGATTTACATACGCGAACGATGATACAATCTATATCTTATCGGTACCTTGCAATTTGCAATATTACGCGGTATTACTTTATTATCGCGACGTGGACATCGCGTTATGCGATGTCATTTGTGTCTTTTTGCGGTAATAAGTCAATATCTGTTTTCTCGCATGTAAAAACTAACGATAATCTAAAAAAACAATCAATTAATTAGAGATGAGATATATTGAAAAAAATATGTAAAGTAAAAAAAGTTGTCTCAAAAAGTAGTTCTTCGGATGGATCGTTGATATTGAAATCAAGTTTAACGGAGAGTCTGTAGTATATTTCTACAAATATATTTTGATACTTCTCGAGTTTTACGCAAAAACTTCGCACATTACTAAAAATAATTTTATGAACAGAAACGATTACAGACGATATTGATACTTTATTGGAAACTATCAATCTGACGAAATTCAAAAACGCGGAGAAAATGTCTGGAAGCGATTGGGCTTTCGTAGTAAGCCAATTTTGCAGGCTCGTGCTAAATCTCGAACACAAATCATCCCTATTACTAAAATCGAGAGGATTCCGATATTCCTCGAATTTATCTGCGGTGATAAGTACGGAAGAGAGAGAGAGAGAGGGAGAGAGAGAAAGAGAGAAAATCCGTTGCATTGAGCGTTTGATAAATCGAAGACTCTCGAGCCCAGACTGCCGCGCTATTATTTTCTTTTTCTCCTACGCATCACGCCCGTTCTTTTAACGGAAGTAAAAGGGGAGCGAATCTCGAGGTATCCACTTAAGGAATAACGAACCGAGAATCGAATAGCAATAACATCTCGGACTTTATTGAGTCCGATATCTTTTGCGAAGCAGGTCGATTAAATGCGTTCTCGAGCGACTTCGGTTTGAAAACCAAGAATGGCGATGAATTTATCAGCGCTTTGATGCAAGTCGAACAGCGGTACTCGATGCAAATGACTCGAAGTCATTTCTTTCATGTTGACGATATTTTCTACAAGTTTTACTTGTAGCTACCAGTGTCTTTTTAACTTCTTTTGATTCTTTTTATTTATTGATTTCACGAATTCGAGAGCTTATATTGTTCTAGATTTTTTGTTATATTAATGATCAGCTGATTATATTATTACAGATCATAATAAATTTAATTTGTCAAACAATATATTAAGTATGTATATATTTTCGCTCGATTTTAATAAAAAACACACTAGTAGTATATGTGTGTGTGTGCGCGCGCGCGCGCGCGCACGTAATAACTTTGTATCGAAGGATAAGGTCTGAAAACCGAGCAAAAAGTTAAATGTTCATGTTTCTCATTTACAATTCAAAGCAGTAAGTCGACTATCTTTTACAGTGACTTGCAATAATGCAATTTAACTCCATCATCTAAAGAAAACATTACTGCGCAGTGGTGATTTATTATACAAACACGAATAGTATTCGAACACAAACCGAACACATCTCTCTAAGAGAGAGAGAGACGTATTTTTACTTTACAAAACAAATTTTGCAGAACAAAACTCACCGCAACTCGTAAATTTCCCTTGAACGTTTCGTGACGTCCATGCAATTTTAATAACAAAGATAATAAATATCGAGCGAGTGCAAGAGTTTTTTTGATGATAGAATTTCGTGATAGAAAAATGGACCAAGTAATTTCATTAAAAACGATTTATTCATTTCACCAAGTACAACGAGCAAAAGATAATAGAAAACAACGGGGATTACTTGGTGCATGGAATGAATAAATCGTTTTTAATAAAATTACTTGGCCCATTTTTTTTTAACACAAAATTGATAAAAACTTTTGCATTCATCTACAATAGGTTCTATAAAAGTTAAAATTAAATTAGAAAAAAAATTTTTTCCATGTAAGTTTTTTATTTTTATCAACACACGCTTCCATCGATTAAGATCATTTCTTCTTATAGTCGCGCAAGAATGACCTTTAAACGTGGTTTTGTCGTATGAAAATGCACAATTTTTTGTCGAAGTAACAGACGCAGAGTAAGGTTGATAGATTGACGTAAACACGCCGATCTGCGTGCGGACCGACTACACACATGCAGAATTCACAGCTAGACGAAGAGCATCGAGGTGACGAAAGTATTTATAATTTCCAGGCGCCTATGTCCCTGCCGCATCCTACAACGCTGACGTCGATACACGCGTCGCTGCCTCATTTTCTACCGTCGCCAGCACTAGCGTCACCGGTCGGGTCACCCTCGTCACAGCCGAACATAGCCGTCAGCAATGCGCAGTGCTCCACCCTCTTCGTGGCGAACCTGGGCCAATTCGTGTCCGAGCACGAGCTTAAGGACATCTTCAGCAGGTCAGGCACCACGATTGTGTTAATTCATTTGTACATTGTTATTGTTTTAGCCGATAATTGCGAGCGACTAAAATATAGTCATGTCCGGTTTATCGATTTATTGTATTTATATATTATCGCCCACATGTGTGCGGCGATTATCGAGATTCTGAGGGCGGTTTTTAAAATGCAGCGCAAAAGTGCGTTATCGGCGAAGGAGTAGAAATTCGCAGGAATAATACGCACGAGTCATGTCATTCAATTTATTTCTAAGTTTCTCCAATAATCTTTCTTTTTTTTGTGATTTTGAATACAGGAGTATTTTTTACGTATTTACAGGAAAATGCGAAAGAAAATTAAAAAATGAAAATTTAGACGTGAACCAAGGTATTCTGTAGAAAAGTAATTTACATCCGATTTTTCAAGTGTAAGATCAACATCCACATTTTTTATAATGGATCTTATAATAGATGTTTATAAGGAAGATTTCTCTGCAAAAACATCAGATACGAATTAGTCATTATAATAATGACAATAATAACTTGTTGTGTAAAAAATTATGTTTGCACCTGCATGTGCGCAATGCTGGAGTTACATGCGTGCCAAATGCGATACGGGTACCGATACACGTGGGTCTTATCAGTACGCCACGTGGTGGTAATGCCGCGATGTCGCGGTGTATTTATGATCTTTACCAGAGCAAAAAATTATGGCGATCTAAAATGTCAAAGCCATTTACGATCACATATACACACACATTACAGTCTTTATTTTGTGTGAGATTCAGTTATCAGATATTGAAACTGAGAGACTCTTTGACATTTAAATGATGTCATTAAAGTAAATTATTAGTAAATTTAGATTTAAATAATATTATTAAAATTATTTAAATAACATATAGATTGGTTGACTTTCAAACAACAAGAAGAAGTTTAGAATTCTTAAATCAGCATCTGGCAATTAAGTAGAGTTTCATAATGTTTTAGCTGTAAAAAATTAATTTTCTGTAATTATAGTAATCTTCAAGTTAAACCACTCGCGAATAAATTCCAGGGAAACTACAGAGATCGGAACTTTGCGTTACGCTTTTGTTGATACATGCAATCATTATGTAACTGACAGTAAGGATACGCGCGTTCAAGGACTTCCTCGTTGAAGCTTTTAAAACGCAGCTGTTGCCGCGAAACAGGAAGTACACGTCGATTGTAAATGACATACGCGTAACGTTCTTATCGCCGTTATAAACAAACATTAATTTATTCCAGCTCGTAAATAAAATAATTAAAAATGGTTAAAAAGTCGGTACAAAAAAAAAAAAAAAAAAAAAAAAATTTGCGAGGCAGATGCTTCAGATTATTGTGGTAACGTGATTTGCGCGATCTTGATTGGCCGAGAATCTTGCGAGTCACACAGGGAACGTGAAACGCAAAATAGCAAACTAAACACGGCGAACCGCTAATTGCGGCCGGAGATACTCGCAATTAGACTTGCTTGCCTAAGTGCAAGCTATCCAACAAACGGCGGAGTTAAAATATGTTATCCGGCCGGGCATTACGGTTGCGCTCTCGCGTAATAAATTATTTTCACGTGCCCCGTCATGCGGAACCTTCCCACGATCTCGAACACACCTCCGGTACGCCGTCGTGAATCATTGCGTCGGGAATTACGGACTCTTTCGATATCAAACGTCTACGTTGAGTCGCGGTATTACTCGCCGTGGTTAATGCTCGTTGTTACCGCGCGTGCATATTTTACTTGCGCGAAGAGAGAGAGAGAGAGAGAGAGAGAGTATCACGAAGCGAAAACTGAAAGAGAAAATCGAAGATATGGAGTGGTTCATTAACCCCTGATTAATAGCGTGAACCCCGATCATGTATTTGCCATCATGAAGTATGATCGTCTATGCGAAAGAACGAGTTGCGCAAATTAATTTTGCAGAGAGGGAGAGAGAGAAAGAGAGAAAGAGAGAGATTGCACTGCAAGATTATAAATAAAGTTCTTAGACAGTTGTTCAATTGAAAGTAACGGCTTTGTTTTTGATGCGGCGTCGAATACTCTTGTCATTAATCTAACAATTAGATTGCGAAAAAAATAAACATTACGAAAATTCGAACACACTAAATACTCGTTCTGGCCTTACCACTATCGGAGCTTTAAAAAATCAGAATAAGAAAATAGATAACTGAAAGAAAATTACTAAGAATCTCAAGGTAACAATTCCTTTGACACACGAATAGCAACTAGAAGACACGCGCCTCTCCACTCTTTTCGAGTTTCGCAGCTGACGGAAGTCTGCGCGCGACTGTCTCGCAAGTTCCGCCACCAATAGAGAAACCCTTCTACGCTCCCCCGTATAATTAGTCCGCGAAATCTCATTATCCCGCAAACCCCGGAGTTCTACAGTATGAATTCGTAAGTGGGTGCCTGAGTTAATTACACGCGTTTGCACGTGCGAGAAGCGCGCGCTGCGCATTCTGCAATTTTCGGTGGCACGCGAGAGAACGTATTCGACGGAATTTTGTTGGCTGGCGACGTGAGTACATTGTGCGCTTGTATGTTGCGTGTAATTTGGCCATTGTTCTTGTACGCGTAATTATTGCGCGTTGGTAAGCCCGAGAGCAGGGAGGCAACAGTCGTTTTGTTCAAATAAAGAAACTTCGCGACAAAAGGGAATTTTGACCTAACAATGCATTGTGACAGGATTGTGTGGAAAAAATCTTATCACCTTGCGAGTGACAGATGATAACTAGAGTAAAAGTCATGAAACATTTATAAAAAATTAAATGCTTGAAAATTCTGCGTACGCGTTTTATTCCAGAAATTTATAAACGCAAAATCCATTAAATCATTTATCAAAAAACAGTTTTAAAAATTATCACATTTCGATTACATATTAAAAAATTAAGCGGAAATCAATTTTCGTAAACGTATTTCTTATTTTTTCTCGTCGGATTTTCTGTGAAATTTAAATTTTAGCGTGATTTAAGATCTTTGATCGATTAATTAACCGACGTCTATGTAATTACAATATTACGATATTTAATCTCTTTTCGATCTCAAAAGATTGCAAAGAATGATGGTTTTTGTTCCTTCAGATTAAAAAACTTTTATAATTATCCAACTAAAGATTGCAGAATAACGATTTTCTGAGAAAAAGATCAGCCTCTTAACAAAATTTCGTGCAATTTTCTTCAAATTATAAGCTCACAAATTCATGACAAATCTGCATAAACTTCGGTCCGCTTGGGAATCTAGGTGTAGAGATCCTGATTTACATTTCGCTTCGTGGCGAATCTGCGAACAGAAGTAAATAAACGCATTAGATCAATGACCATAGTAATCGACGCCGAGAAGGGTAACAGATGAAAGATATCCCTAACTTTCTCCTTTCCGCCCGCGAGGTGCGCATAATAATTATCGAAGTAATAATCGCGCAAGATCGCCGTAAACGTCAAAATTTGCTTTGTACTAACAGCACCGCCTCCAAACATCACCGACATCCGCTAATCATTTGCCACCGTCGTAGATCGTAGGACGTATACATAGTGGAAGAGACGCACCTGTACTAGTACCCGTACCATGCGACTTAGTGCCGTTTACTAATTGTCGGTGTGCTGACGGTGGGGTTGCACGAAGGGTTGTGTCTCGGTGTCGCAAACAAACGACCGAATAGCGGCGACTCATCAATAACACTGTGTGAAGTCAAATTTGGCTAAGGCTAACGCACAACAAAAACGGACAATGTAAAAACTGAAGTAATAATTTTCACGGTCAGAATAGAGTAAACATCACCACTATATTAATGTAGTAAAAATGTAATTAATGTGTTTAAAAAAATTTTAATTATATTTTTGAGATATTCCAAAAGAAAACAACTACTTATTGCAAAATAAATTAATAATTGAATACAAAACAAATTTTTTCCAAACTACGAGCTTAGAACAAGTTGCTCTTACTAACGATCCATATTCGATCCTGAGCTTGCATCCCTTCCGTGTACTCACCCTGTACATCGGCACTGTCTAACGTCACCGACATCATCATTGGCGAAACCAAGTAACCAAGACCCCTGCCAAAACCCTCTTGCCCTCTTGCCAAACGTACTGTCTTTACGACTAACTAGAGCACGTATTGTACGCTTCTCTTATTTGTGCACAGTTTTCCTGGTTTCTCCCGGCTTCGTATGCACACGAAGGGAGGGTCGCCAGTGGCCTTTGTCGAATACCAAGACGTTCGCTACGCGGCCCAGGCGATGGCCACTCTCCAAGGATCCTTTCTCCTCTCCTCCGACCGGGGAGCGATACGAATCGAATATGCAAAGTCAAAAATGGCCGAGGTGGGCTTTACAAATCTCTGGATCGAAGTAGGTTCCACTTTATGCTACGATAGACGCAGCGAAGAACGCGTGGGGGCGGCTCTGTCTGAAATAGGCGAGCGCGGTTCGCGCGAGTTTCTCCTCACGAGAAAATCCTTCAAAATTTTCGTTTCCCTTCTCAGGAAAAATATCTTTTATGTGAACAAATTCTATGTTTAGTTATATCTGGTTATACACAATTGTATTTACTCATACATAACCAAATGTAGATTTTGTCCCTACATGAAGGACTTTTTTCCGAATTATCGAACTGTTTGTAGGACAAAAACTACGGACGAAGAGAGCATATGTGCGAGGGTTTCGGCGAAGACATTACTCGCACACGCCGGGAACCTCGATGAGAATCGTTTGCTGCGGTCATATGTGACACTTGCGCAGAATGCTTGAGGTCTCGAACACTCAGGGTTCTCGTTTGCGCGCCTAAACCTTCGAGCACAAGTGTTTACTGTGGTTTAGCACGAGACTCTCTTGCATATATTATACAAAGAGACTCTGAATGGTTCGCCTAACAGTAGAGCCGCCTCTGCGAGGATACGATTACAGTGAATACGTAGGGCTGTGCTTTCGACATTATAATATATTTATTCATATATTGTACAGTTTCTTGCTGAGATTGTTTTATTCGACGTATACTGATAATGGTTACAGTTACCACTTTGAGATTTAAAGTGTCTTTGATAAAGAATGTAATTTGCTGTAATAACATCTTGGCAAACATAAAAAAAAGAAATAGTTTTAATATTCCTTTTTTATATTACATCATCGTAAAGGTATATAATTCATTTTTTACAAACTTTGAAATAAGCCGAAAATTTACAAAACCTATATAAAATCACAAAACTATATAAATACAATTTGAAAAAAAATATATATAACGTTAATATACATATAATAGTAAGATAGGTAATTTAAAAGATTTATACATATTAAAAACCTTTGTTTTATTTGTAATAATAACATTCGAACACAGCTGTGCGTTTTCGTGTCCAAATTGAAACCGATATATAATTTCGATGATGTTTGGATTTTGATGCTACAGTGGAAAAAGATAATATTTTGATGAGAAATTGGCGGAAATCACATATATTTTTTTTTATTACCGCATAGCGTCGAAAATCAACATCGCCGAAATGATCGGTTTCGAGCTTTTGCTTTTGCCATCGCACTAAAACGCGTTAGGCCTCACTCAGGATCTTGGATCCAATTACACGGTCATTATTCGATCTACTCGCGCGGTTTTGCTCTCGAACGCGTGTAACGTGCGCGCCTCGAGGCGACAGACGGGCTGTCCACCTTTGAAGGCCAATTAAATCCGGTCGAAGGACCGACGCCGGCTGTTGTGTTTAGAAACTCACATCCAAACGGATGGTGCGCACTCACGCGCCAAAGCCAATGCCCAATTAGCCGTTGTTATAACCCTCTTATCGCGCAGAAGCCGGCCAGCGATATGAAACCACCCATCTTTTTTTTTCCTTTCTTCATTTTTTTAAATTGTTTTTAAATATAAGTTCTTTCCTTTTATAAATTTCCGCACACAGTCCTAAACAGCGACTGAAATCGGTGTAATACGAAATAGTTCGGATTTCAACGTTACGGACGAGAGAAAAATGATATCTGTTTACTCACGATAATGGGAACGCGATACTTGATAACAAGATACATTTTTTTCCCGTCTGTAATATTGAAAATTGAATTCATCTAGATTATATCGCTTTCAATTCTCTGAAATCCCTGGTTTCTCTCTCTTCTCTGTGTTCTCTTTGTATATTTTTTCTCTATTTAATACCTTGTTCACACATCCAGCTGCTCGTTCTTACGTAATTTTTCTTCGTATGAAATCAGTTTTTTTCTTCCCCCATTCTGTATATGTTAATTTCTGCTACATTAAATCTCTGTGTTCGTTACGTAATTGTGTTATAGAGATACATCGAGCACTATATGCACCATCCCAACCTTGTAGCAATTTGACTAATTGGCTGTAGTACACGCTTGGGAAACAATTGGCTGTGCAAAGTACATCAATTTTATTGTTAACGATTTCTTTATTGGAACTAAATTTCTAGGATATTTAAAAATCTTTAGTTTCTTTTTAATTTAACAATTCGTAAAATGAATTTCAAAAAAAAAAAAAAAAAAAAAAATGCAGAANAAAAAGTGACATAAGGTAAAAAAATGAAAACAAAAAGAAGTAAAAGACAAAACGATGATCCTGAGGTTCCGCTTTTAATCAAGACTGTCCAATGAAGACTCGTCTGTGATCATTAAAGGATCGATTTCACTTCCGTAATTTAAGGGCTGAACCAAGTTCGCGACTAATAGGTTATCCGGCTGCCAAAAAGGGTAGAACTAATTGATTTACTAAGTAATTACATATAAGCTGCGGCACACGAAGTTGGCAAAGTCGAATTACAGTATGTTTCGATTAAGCTTATATATGACAGCTGCGATATTATTCGTGCATGACATTCTCGATGTATATGCAATACACACATCAAGAACGATATTGCATTATCTTTCAAAAAAAAAATTACTGTACATCTCTGTATGTATAAAAAAAAAAAATAATCATATCAAATAATCATATCAAATAATACGATACTGTAATACTAATTAGATAATGAGTAATATTCTCAAAGGTGTTGAAATATCAAAGAAATAAACCCAACATGTGTCTCATATATTTCTGGAAAGTGACTCTAATAGTAATAAGACCCGAGAGAGAGAGGTGACATATTTTTTCGATGAAATTGATAATCCACTCGAAATGTGAAAATGGGTTTGGCGCGACGAAGCAAAGTGTGTCGCCAAAAATTGATCGGACGCTATAAAAGGGTACTTTAAATCGCGGGCCGACCTTACCCTTTGAAATCGGCGACGGATCGATATGGCAGTCGCTTGCAGTTGCCGCGACCGTGTCGCAGCTTGTTTATTCATACGCGATGCCGAAAAGTTGCGACCGGTCACGCTATAAACGAAGTTCTGTCCTCGGATCGATCTCGTCGTTTTTGAATTAAATGATCAATGCAGTTCGCTTGGGGCTGAACACAACGGAACACGTCATCGTTAATTCACCCCCGCGTTTTATAGAAACGTCTGGCGACGTATCGTCTATCTGGCGGGTCATTCGAATGAATTAAAATTTTAGCCTTTTCCAAGCGCGTTTCGTCCTATAAATATTTCTTTCTATTTCTCTGTCTCTTCGTCTCTGTTATACACAAATATCAGGAAAAATGTCTCTCACATTTAGATTTTTATTCTACGAACTTTTTGTGAGAAATTGTTGCGCAAAAGAAAAACAGGAAAATCTCAGCTGTTGCAAATCTCACGCAACGAGGAAAATATAAATCGACTCTTCGTCTTTACGATAAACTGAGAGAGAAAGAGAGTGGAATGTAAATGTTTTTTTGTTTTTAATATTAAGCTCATAAATTCATACTCTCTCTTTTTTCAAGTATATCTATATATTTTATTCATCTAACACACATTATATTATATTTATTGTTTTTATCTGAATATTTTACTTTTATACACATTGAATACATGACGTTATCATTTCCTTTTATATTTGAAGACTTAGCTTCGGGAGATCGTAAAAAAATATCGTCATGAGAAAGCTATCTTTTCTTATTCACGTCCTTAAATTTACCTCCGCATATAAATACGTTTTATTCATAACATTTCTGTTTGTTCCCGCGAGACTTTTTCCCCTACTTCCGAGACGGAATAAAATTCAATCTATCCGCCTAATATCCTTAAATATTTTCTCTCTGTCTCTCCTGGTCTCGACCGTGTGATGTGCCCTTTCGTCAACCGAGAGAACAAACCGTGAAAGAGCGCTTTTCAGCGCAGTCACGTCTTAATGAGGTACGCAAATTACTCAATGGCAAGACGTGTCGCCTCTTCAGCCTCACGCGGACACTCTTTATTCGGTAACAAGACAAATGTAGGTTGTCCTTTCATCCACGAACCGACACTCGAGCAAGTCTTTCTTCAAGCTGTCACCGCGTGTGACTTATTGAGCACTGGGAGTAAAAAATTCGTTATGAGTAGCCAAGACGGACTGTTGAACCTTGTTCGCGGAACGACTCGCCTTTTGATACTCGTGTCTTTTGTCTTACGAGAACTTTTGTCTTGTTTAGAACTAGGTTTCATCCTTAATCCTTAAATTTCTACTGTTTTTATCGTTTGTATCGTTGCACTTACTTTCCAGAGTAAATTAGACAAATAAATAAATTCGGAAGAGTAGAAAGAAAGAGAGTTTCTTAGATGTTCAATCAACAGTGACAAAAAGGTCACATGGAACCAAACGAGAATGTTGATACGTTGAATATAATCTTTATTATGTATAAATTCTAATTAACACTTATCTCTAGCCATTATATGAATATAATGTATAAAACACAAAAGAGAGAGATGATGTAGAAACTGGTTTCTTATGTGTGTATTGTTAAAAATACGTTTGTTAATGTGTTGGGAGAGCATAGGATCATTCGGAAAGATTGATTAACGACGAAAATACAATACGCGATTTAACGAAAATAATCATCTCGCTGCAATTAGGCATTTATTTTTTGTACGTTCTGCATCTTAGACGTACTACGCCTTGTATCACGGTAATCAATGCTAATCGGTCACGTCGAATCTTTCAGGGATCAAAGAGACAAGAAAACGGCCAACCTTAAGATCGATATCAACGGCATGTAAAACGGCAAGAGAATCGACCGGGAACCGAGGAGACGGGCAGGACGCGCTCTCGTCGGACAGGATATCTACCGGAAAATGAGACATGAGGGAAGAGGCCATGCAGGAAGCCGCGCACTCGCGAGAAGTCGAGGATTCGTCGGCGGGAGCTCGAAAGAAGGTCGAGAGAGGAGCGGAACGCAAGAGGAGAGCACGTAGAGAAAAAGAGAGAGACACATATATACACACGAACACACACAAGAAAAAAAAGAGGAAAAAGAAACAGACACGCAAGAAATTGCGTGCGCGAGTGGAAGGGCGGGAAATCTCGATCACCTTTCCGCTCGCAAGGAACACACAGCGGTAGGCAAATTCTTGTAAATTCTATACGACGTTGCAGAAAGCGGAGGCGTGTTGGTTCGCGCGACTCCAGCGGGGGGCCCAATGTAATCACGTAATATTCCTAGGTATATATATTTTTTAACGAACTTAACTTATCGATTCGCGTACCTCTACCTTTTACCTACTACTATTTATTTTCACCGTGTCTTTGATCGCGATCGACGACGACGAAGCGAAAGAAAGGGAGGGGGGTTTAGCGAAAAGGGAGAACAAAGAGGAGAAGGCAAAATGGCGAAGTGGATTTCGTTTCTTGTATACATATGTAAAGAAGACAGGCACTCTTCAACAGTTTACTACACACACACGTATACACACTGCGATACACAAACAAAAAAACATATACTCTTTAATGCGGAGATTCTTTCGTCACATATCAAACGCCGCGATGCCACTCCGGGACGTATCCGCGGTGCACTTATGAAAATTGTGAGAACTTATTGTCTCGGAAGAAGAATCTCTGAAAAAGAGTCTTATTAGAAAAAAAACAAAAAAAACAAAAAAAACGTATACATATCGAGCTTGAGCTTTCCGAAACTGTTCATACATACAATTGAAGGAGCAATCTCTTAAAAATGTTAGCTTTATGCAGGAATCAAGCTCATCAATTAATATGTGCTTTAGCGGCGCGGTGCGAACCTTGGTGGTGGCTCCGACAAGGGAAGTTGCGTATATATTCTACACACCGAAACGAAACACGAGCGAAGCGAAGATGAGTACATCAAGCTTAATACCAAAGGTGCCCTAAGAAGCGTATATTTATGTTTTATCATTGGCGCGTTGCGCGAAACACGAGCGCGCGCACATTTAACTATTGTATCTTGTTAAGGAGAGTCTAGTGTCCTAGGCGAGGATGTGAGGATGATGAAAGAGAGAAAGAGAGAGAGAGAGAGAGAGTGTGTGTGTGTGTGAGAGAGAGAGAGAGAGAGAGTATGTGTGTGTGTGTGTGTATGTGTGTGTGTGTGTGAGCGAGTGCGAGAGAGAAAGAAAGAAAGAAAAAACTCGAGAGAATGGAAGAGCAAATGAAAAAGAAGAAGTGAACGTAAGAATGAGCGATCGGAGAGTATGATTGTTAAGTAATAATCTTATATACATATATATACAAACAAGAACATATCATAGAGTTAAGCCTGTAGATGAAAATTCGAGAGAGGCGAGAAGAGAACTCGAATCGACCATCTGTCTCTCCTGTAAGACGAAAAAGTTGCCTAGGGATAGACAGAGAGAAGGAGAAAAAGAGAACGCAGACGAAAAAAAGGAGAAGCATGGGTGGATGGAAGTGGTGTTAGAAACGGCGGCCAACTCGGCACGTAATTTGCCCAAGTGCCTTCCTGTTGGTCGAGTCACAAGCTGTAGTAATCAGTAGCGCGTTTTACATACATAGGTCTCGTCCCGATTTTTCGTGCTCCTCTACAAAGAGAGATCCCGGCGCTTCTCTACACATACACACAAAACCGTATCCGAAAAACACATCCCGAATTCACCTCCCTCTCCCTCTCTCTGTCGCACTCCCCTTTTCCTTTTCTCCCAATGCAATTCACCTCTCTCGCTTATCTCGATGGCGGAAAGCTGCAAAAGAAGAACGTATTGAGAGAAGATCTCGCGACGATTCGTAGATCAAAGACGGATTTCAAGCGGAATGGCGTTTTCCGAAATGGCTGAACGAGCTCGTGAAGAGTTGTAATAACTGTCGCGGCTGATAATTTTCTCTTTGAGAATATTCTCTTGGACATTATTCGCGTTATATTGTGATTTGTCTCTTTCTGTCGTCGTTGCATTAGTTGCAGTATTATAGAAGTGTATGTGTGAATTAATTTTAAAAACAGATATAAATTGTGTAACAAAAATAAAAACAAGAAATAGACAGAAAGCAACGAACGACAGTTGTAACGGGAATCGTTAGAGCAGCTTTTCGCCAAATGAGTTTTTCACAATTAACTCTTCCTCCCCCGTTGTATCACTGGGCATTTATTACACGCATCCGCAGTTAACAGAAAATGTGTGGAAGTTACTTAAAAGAGAGAGAGAGAGAAAAAAAAACAGCTGCCACTTAACAGTGGACTACGATAATGGCGCGCTCGGGCGAACCGATCGATCCCATCCGTCGTCGTCGCTTGACCGTCATCGTCGTCATCGATCGTCAAGTCGTGATCGCGCCAGCACGTTCTTTATTTTTCTATGGAAAAACGACTACGGAGAGAACTACGTTAGAAATATCACTCTGCGATATTGAGACTTTGCGAACACAATTATGATATATCGAAATACATGCGCGAAAGGACTAATAAGAAAGAAATAATACGCGAGAGAGAGAGAGAGAGAGAGAGAGAACAGGCGAAAGGAAGATATTAATTGCCAGGCCAATCCGTACGAGTTTTCGCTCTCTTTAACCCTTTGCGCTCTTTCTTTCACTTGAGTCCTACTTCACGTATTAACGTAGATTATCGGGTGGAAAAGAGAGCCCGGCGATCGATATCACGTAATGCCGTGCATTTTGGATTTAATGCTACATAGCTAACAAGCCACTGCGACGAAATGTGATTTTACGAAAGATTAGAAAGTATAATATAATCTAAGTTGTAAAATCGAATCGAGGCCTTACACTTGCATTTTGAAGAGTAATGAAACGGACGAAAGATTTTAGATCTTTCTTCGCGCGAACAAGAACATCGATGGTATCTCAGATATTACAAAACAAAATGTCTGATTACGTTCACATATTATTAAAAAAAAAAAAAATAATAACTATATATAGATGTATATTATATATTTCTCTCTTATGCGCTTACAACTTTTTGGTCTTTTTCTTAAAAAAAAAGAAAATAATAATACCATCATGCTCTCAAGACGATGTATTTCGCAATTGAAAAGAAAAATACAAATCACATACATATCCGAGCGCAAAGGGTTGACGAGATATATACGTCGGTATTGAAAAAAAAAAGACGACTCGAAGATTCGCGTCCATTGAAAGAGGCTCGCTCGAACAAGATGAGTATCTAACGAAAAATGATAAAAGGTTGAAGTATATCTAGCTCGGAGAAGTGTGAGGGAAGACGACGAGTGTGTGTTGGATAAACGCGCGCGATTGATTATACCGCGATCACGAGAGATGATTGCCGATTACGGAGGAGAGATATGCGAAAACGCGTCGCGGCAAACGCATTATTCGGTGTATTCGATAGCTCGTTATTTTGTAATTTATAACCGATAAGAGAGTAAGAGAGAGAGAGAAAGAGAGAGAGGGATTTGTCGTCATTCGCGATTCGGAATCGACGAGTCGTTAGATTGAATTTTAAAGTGCTTTACAAGTGAAACTCACACATATCATTAGGCGGTAAGCTAACATTATTATATTAACATAGAGTGGTATTATATATTCGCGTGTGTATAAGGATATATATTATTAGGGTTAATATGAGAAATATGAAGAAGTAAATATATATATATATATACATATATATCTACAGATAGATATATATATATGAAGAAAAAAAAATATTATATTATAACGCGCGCGACGTCGTTGAAAGTACAGGGGGCGAGAAGAGTTCATGTCAATCAGATATTTTGTACCGTCTCTAGGAAATTATTCTAGCGAATCCGTTTCGTTTCTTTTTTATATACATATATATATATATATATATATATTATATATACACACGTATATATGGGAATAGACGACATGCAGTATATATCGTGGAAGCGAATCATGCAGCAATTCGTAAACTAAAAACGCGAGTGTTTTCATCAGGACCTTTAAAAAAATGTTCGGACACTTACGCCTTTTATTCTGGGAAAGAAGAAGAGTATATACATTGCTTATATCTCGAGCGAGAAAAACTGAAGAAGAAGTCGTACAGAGTTGACACATTGAAACGAATAAAATTTAAAATAAATTTAGAAAAGTTAGTTTATATACGTGTATATATTATATGAGTCATTAAATTATATAACTTCAGAAATAAAATAAATATGTTTGTAAAGTTGATAAGCTCCGAGTTAATATAATTACATAAAAACAAAGTAATTCGAATATTTTAAATCGCGATGAATCGCGTGTATGACTTTTTCTCTCTCGAAAACGCGCTCTCGCTGTAACAACATCGAATCATCGGTTCGCATGATCAATCCACTAATATACTTCGACAAATTACCACTTGAATATGGTGTGTGCTGAAAACATCTTAAAATTTGATCCACGATGAAAGCTTCGCGCGAAGATCCACCGAAGGAACAAGCAAAAGAAAAGCGAAATTGGAGAACGCGAGAGACTCACCAAAGATGGCAACGTATCGATCCAAAGACTACCAATAGATCTTACAAAAGACTATGTCACGCTGTGAAAGAACATTAATGTGCCCCAACTCAAAAAGGTAGATCACCGATCTATCGTAAATGAGAGCGTCAGAGATGAAGACGTGGCGTGAAATTGCGCGCGCAAGAAAGCATAATGTAAATCTGCTTTTGCTTTTTCATTTCCTCTTGTAGATCCCCGATTCCGTCCTCGTGGGAAGGTCTTTCAGGATCAGCTCTCGAGGCTTTAAAATCCTTGCGTCACCGTAAAAAAAAAATCCACTCATAAGTCATAAACGGTCTCATCTCTATTTAGCGTCCCGCTTTTAGCACTAAATGGCCGTCTGATTCGGATTTTCTTTTATTAACATCAAAGCGAGGTGAAAATCGAACAATCCCTTTTTCCAACAAATGAAACGAAATAATGACAAAGGAATATTAATAAGCTCTCTGATCGTTAACGTCTGTAAATGATCTGCAATTGATAGCGCTGAAAATCTGAGATACGAAGAGTGCTTTCAAAAACAAGTAAATAAAGTGGAAAAATATCAGTTTGGCAACAAAAATATACAAAAATATACAAAATATACAAAATATTTTCTACTTTTAACTCTTCGTTGGCGATGGCTGGGTCGAGAAATATCCGATGGATATTTGTTAAGTTACAACTAAATACATTTTTTTTTTTAATAATAATAAATAAAAGAAATATATTAAAATTTGTTTAATAAACAAAACACATATTTAGTACGTTATATTTGTGTACGCAAGGCGACTTTTTGATTATTCAGCAGAATCAGAAGTACGACTCAGCCATAATTTCCTGAGGGTTAATTTATTGCAAAATATTGCAAATTCGCCAACCAAAACTGCTAGAAAACGTATGTACCTTATATATACTATCATAGAGCTCCTTCGAGCTCCTGACCACAATGTGAAAGTAAGGATCAAGTAATATTTTGTTGAGACATTAAGAATGAAAGCGAAAGTGAACAAGAACACGAGCGGCTGTACACACTCACGATAAAAAAAATATACCTGTCAGTTTTCAAACGTGCACACAAGATGCGAAGCGGATTTCTATTCGCGCTGATAAACCGAGCGAAGCTTCGCGTCGGCCAGTGATAAGCGTCGAGGAAGGAAGTTTATATTACATTCCGGACGAGGAGAATAGTACGATATAATCTACAAACAAAAAAACAAAAAAAACAAAAAAAAAAAAGAAAAAGAGCGATGCTTTCCTATTATTTGAAATATGATTATCTTAACGAACTTAAGTGGTCGCGCAAAACGTGTGTTCGTTTTCAGGCGGCGAGTCGAAACGCGTCTCGCGACGTGCGCTTTTTCGAGGTTTTATAAGATTCGCGAGAGAATAGGTAGTTAAGTAATAATCGTAGACTGTTTTACATAGCTGTTACAATATCGTAATATCACACGCGCTTTCTGTGGTATTTAGTTGAATTTCTGTCATTGATGTTTACAAATCCGTCTGACGACGTAAAGTAAAGACGAAGCTAGATGAATATATAAAATACACGCGTACCGCGGACTTGTTTGCCGTCTCTCTCTCGCTGGTTGCAACTGCGATCAGACATCTGTATTTTCTTGTTGTTTTGAAAACACAAATGCATACGTTGC